TCAGATAGTACGTAATTAGTCTTACATAGCCGTGCCACTAGCAGATCAATATCATTCCTTATTGTAATAAAATAAACATTTTTCTATGTACATGTTATGGGGGTCTATAATTATGATATACCCTGTACTACCAATTACATCCTATATTTATACGAGATCAAACTCATAACTTATATTTGACCGCTTTGATGTTTCTTGTATCACTTATAGTTTATCATCGATGATCAAAATACAGCTTAAGGAAGAAAAAAAACATCATCCCATGAACACTCGACGTTAGGAATGGGACAGTTCCAGTTCTAACTGAAGCTTATTTATCTTGTTTTTTATACTGTAATGAACCCATCTGGTTCAGCTTCACACAGAGGATACTGTCATCATAGGCTGTCGAATAAGATTTTTTATACGTGTAATCTTTCTGTGGAAAACATGATAGTATCCTCTATGGAAACTGAACCAAATGAATTCATTACAGTATAAAAAACAAGATAAATAAGTTCACCAGTTAGAGTTACTAGGAACGGTAACTGGAACTGCCTCACCCCTACTCGACATATAGCAGATGGAAATATGTGAATGAAAATTTGAGTAAGTAAAAATTGTATTCAATTGTCAGTGCAGTGAAAAAGTCTATAGATGATCATACTGAGAAGTAGATAGTGATGCAAACACTAACAACGGTCTAGGATACTATTCAATATCTTCATGAAATAGTTATTCTAGTATTTAGAAATTGAAAAATAGTTCAATGATACTTCTATTTTTGAGATATCAAAATATTATCAACTTTACCAGCTTGTAGTCTAAGATCTTTTGTCAATTCACCAGTTTCATCAAAAAATTCGGCTGCTTCCGTTTCTAGAATATTTTAAAAATAAAACAAAATACATGAAGTTAATAACGTTGATGTTCAATCAATTTTAAACGGCGATAAATCACTTACCCATCCATGCGTTATCTACGAGCAGAAAAACAAAGTATAACACAAATTAGTTAGAAGTGATTGATAATCATTTACCAGTATTGCGGGGATCATCAACATAACCCTTGTAAATCTATGATGAAAAATAAAACACACGCTTGAATCATAAAATTCTATATTATTATTATTATTGAACATGAATTTCTCACCGTATGTTGTTTTTTCATTAATGCATCAATATTTTGTCTTAGATGTGGTGCTGTTTCCAATGAATTCATAGCTTCTTCTTCAAATTCTCGTCTTAATGTTGAAGAAATTGATTCACCCGGATCAACCATACCGCCCGGTAAAGCTATTTCACCAGTATCTTTTCGTTTTATACCGATAAATTCTAATATATTTTTTTTATTTCCAGTTTTGGCCCATCTTGTAACAACAGGATCTATTTTAAAATAAATAATTTAAGAATAAAATTTGAATACACAATTGCATCATAATTCACTTGCCTGCTGCATCTATAATAAACAAAAAAACAATGATATCAGTTAAATAGTGTAAGTAACATTTTATTATATACTGCCAAAAAAACTAAATTATTTAATAAATAAATAACCTACGGTTCGGTCCCCATCGACCGAGTAAACCTCTCATGGCCATTCCGGTACGACCAGCTGGATTTAACGGACGATTTGTTTGTGATTCAATTTGATATTTTCCCATATAACTTGTACGATCCACTTTACCATCGATTTTATTGAATCCAGTAATTGATCTTCTACAAATATAAGAAGAACACGATAGAATATGAAATATGTCATAAAAATTGATTTTTTTTTCACGTACGGATCAGGATCATCAGCCCATACTGGTTTTGTATTTGTTTTTTTATCAATTAAAACTGACGGATCAGTATATTCTATTGGTTTATAGGCTTCCCATTTAACATTCCAATTAATTTTATTTTCGCTAACTCTTGTTCGCTAAAACCATTAAGTTAACTATAAATCTATTATATCTTCTGTATATATAGGTATGCACCGGTTACAAGTTTTTACCAGTTAACTGTACTTGTAAAACTCCTGATAACTGTAACTGTAGACAAATATTCTAGAGTCTTGTACGATTTACATACATTTTAAAAATAGAGACATTCTTAAAATGTATACAAATTGTACAAGACTAATCACTCTAGAATATTTGTCTATAGTTATGACAGTTACAGTTTTTACCAGAGGTGCACCCGTGAGATTAGAAAATTTCTTCCGACAGTAAAAGATTATAATAAAATTTCCCTAGCATAAAACAAAATTAGAAACAAAACAATGCGATTTTATTGTTGCTAAAACTACGGTTTCTGTTTAATCACACATGTCTGATTCTGGTATTTTCGTATAATTTTTCGTTTTTTCAAAATCCTAAAAAATTTCCCCCTCAAAAAATGTTTTTTTCTCTCCGATGATCGTCGGCGCAAACGGATAGATTCTGTACTTTTATTTTTTTTACAGTTAACTGTAACTGGATGCATGTCTATGTATATACTTACTTTAACATCTTTAGTGCCAACATAGGGTGATGTTAATGCTTTAATATGTGATGTGGATTTTATACCCTTTGTTGTACGCGTACAAGATGAACCCATGGCCAATGTGAACAAATTGATTACAACAGCAACTATTTTACTGGCTAAGAACAAAGATAAATAAGTTTGATATAAATAAATTTATCAATTAAGAGAATATATCGGGTGTGTTATCATAAAAAATTACAGTCTCCATGTTTTACATTTTTCTCAGTACTCTTAGATGCGAAAGAGCTATATAAGTTTTATTGTAAGATTCAATATTTAATTCTACACAAGAATCTATCAAAAGGTTCTCTTAGACATGTACGGGCGAAATGTTACAATAAAAAATAATGGAGAAAATAAAATTAAGTTAAAAAGCAGGTTTTTCCAAGTTATGAAAAAAATTAACTAACAATCTTGTAGTCCTTGAAATTCTCTAACTTTGAGCTGTAATTTAAATTTTTAGCATTAGAAATTACGATACACGAAAACTTTTTATTTTTCAATTTTTCTGAAAAATTACCATTTTCTTTCTGCTGTTTCGGATCATTCAGGCAAAACTCATAGAACTTTGCCAAAAAATTAACGTTTCGAGTTCGGATTGTTTTTAATTCGAGGATGAATGATTAGTGTATGCCAGCAAAGTACAAAAATCAATATTTGCAATATACTGTTTGATTTGAACGGCTTGTACTCTACAGGATGAGAAAGAGAACATTCAAGAGCACAAAGAACTTTTCTGGAACTCATTTTAATGATTTCACAAGTGTTAAAACGTGCTCGAAATTGTCATGCAAAAAAGTTTTGAGTTTTTCGTTTTTTTGCATTTTGGGACTCTCCATTATTTTTACTGTAACTTTTCATCCGTACATGCCTAAGAAAACCTTTTGATAGATTCTTGTGTATAAGTAAATGTTGAATTTTACAACAAAAAAATATAGCTCTTTCGCATCTAAAAGAACTGAGAAAAACGTGGAATACTGAAGAGGGACTGTCCTCAACTGATAAATCGCTTTTTGATCGAAATCTAGTGAGTTATAGTTTATCGACCATGCTGATTCCGAATATGACCATCGAGATTCCCCATAGCCCTTCGAAGATCCGATTTTCTGGAAAATCAATCTTTTAGAAAAACTTCGTGATTAAAATGAGACATCTCCCAGCTCTACACAACCTTTCTTTGCAAAGTTTTAGAATTTACAAGAAAAACTCTAAATTGTTCATTGTCAGCTCAAAGCTACAGAAATACGAAGAAATTAATTTAGGACTTTTCTTGTAAATTTTATAACTTTACAAAGAAAGATTGTGTAGAGCTGGGAGATGTCTCATTTTAATCAGAAATATGCGGGGTTACAATCATGTCTCATTAAGAAAGGTTTTCGTTACTTGTTAAAGTTTCTGAAAGACTGATTTTCCAGAATATCGAATCTTCGAAGTGCTATGGGGAATCCCGATGATCATATTCGGAATCAGTATAGTCCATAACCTATAAACCACTAGATTTCGATCAAAAAATGATTTATCAGTCGGGATGTTTCGTCAGGCGACTGCAATTCTTTGATGATACATCCAATATTTATGAATTTAATTATTAAAAACTATACATACGTCGTCTCCATCTTACTATAAATCTGTTACTTAATCTAAAAGTATATTGACAATTTATGATCCTAAATTTCAAGTTAAGTAGTGAAACGTATTATAGATTAGCTTTCTTAAAGATAATAATGTTTCGACAGTTAACTAACAGAAAGTTTTGAAATGACGTATGCAATTTTTCAATTTCAAGAAAAAATCTATCCGTTTCAGACATTTGTCTCAGACTAAAGAAATTCAGTTCTCCTTTTTTATGTCAAAAATAAACGATAAAAAAGTATCATGAACATGTCTCAAGAGACACTCATGTCGTTTAAAGAGGATAAAATTGACTCGTAGATTGGTTTATTTCTGTTTATATTTGTGTTCAACTTGCATATATTTTCAGTGAAATTAAACTTCTATTTTCTTTTTAATAAATAAAAATTTAATTCTTTTTTAATATATATGAAACAAAATATTCATTTGTTTAACTATAAAATGTGAAAATTTTGTTAAATCTGGTCACGTGAACAGAAAAGAAGCTTTGTTTTACTACCTGTATAAGTCAAATTTATTTTTAGCTAGTATGATTTATTTCTATTTGCTCTTTTCTTTTCTTCTATACGGCAATATAATGAAACCAAACACACAAACATACGGTTACTAACAACGTTTATTATTATTAATGTAGTCGAGTGTATTCAACTTGCATTAATAATAAATGTTATTCAAAAATTATTATTCTTAACTAATAATAATACTAATGACATATATTTGAAAAATCCAGATATGAAACTAGATAAAATTGATATGATTAATAATATTATTATTAGTTATAAGTACAACTTAACAAATTCGAATGTAGAGTAATTGATGCAGCAAAGTTTTAATTGTTTATATTTTTTACCATAGTTATCAATAACAGAAAAAGAGAGATTTTGATGTTTTATATGCAAAATATCATACAGACTGTTCGCAATGCTATTCGATATTTCTACTATAAACTTTAAAATATCATATGGATAATTACAGAAGTTTGTATTCAAAAAGTTATTTCGATTAAAGACTTAGAAAAAGCATAATTATTTCTCATTTCCTTAAAAATTTATTGTTCTTTTCTCCATCTAATACTACTAGATTTAGTTATGCACCAGTTTTTAACTGATCATGATGTTAGAATATACAGAAAAATTGTGCTAATCTGATTATGAAGAATCGATAAGAGTTGTGGAATATCTCATTTTGTAGAAAAATATTTGCACTACAAATTTAAACGTATTTTAAACAAGAATACGATCATTTTAAGATGTAGTAAATTATGGGCAAAAAACCTATTCGAACAGAGTTTTATTTTGGAAGTTAATGTATTTTAAAATGTTTATATTTCTATCAAAAATAGGTTTTAAAACTATTTTAGAATTATGAACCAAACATTTCTCTATAAAATGAGATATTTTACAATTCTTATTGATTCTTCATAATCAGATTATAGCAAATTTTTTTGTATGCCCTAACATATCAGTTTTTAACTGATGCGACTACGTAGAATGTCAAAAGAATAGAATATTTTCAGTGAAAAACGTTCCAAGACTTTCATTGTTTACAATACACGTGTCTACTGATGAAAATATTGCTTTCCTCTTTTAACTATGACTCGTGTGAAAACGCGTATCTTTTAACAATTTTCTTCTATTCAATGTCGATAGAATCTAAACGTTTCTAGTCTAATTTGTACTATATAAGAAAAAAATTGAGTATAAATCTTTTTATTATTAATATATGTTTATCAAATCTAACTCAAAATAATAAAAAAATAGGTTAGAAAAAAATACGCACAAGTACAGAGTTGTTTTCATATCAATTCAAAATCCTGTCTCTTTTTCCCGAAAAAAAAGCCCAGTAAATAACAACAAGTAAAATTAGAAATCAAAACAAAAAGTAATAAACAATGTAACACTGTATTTGATTGATGTTTATAGAAGAAAAATATATTCTTCAACACTATTCTTTCGACGACGATTGAGGTGAAAAATAATGATGTCAACGTTCATAAAGTAACTAAATTATGATGGAAAAATCACAGTGATTTAAAATATGTTATGTCTAATAATAAAAATATTGTAGCCAATGAAATGATGATAATATTTCATCCATTGTAAAGTAATATTCTGTGAAACATACATATTCTCTCTATTGTAACATTTAAAAATTGTGTTTATTCATTTAATCATTTTGTTTATGTAAAATAAGTATGGATAATTTTATGACAGTTATAGAACACGTGTTAATATCTGTAAACAGAAAAACAATAGTGACACTGGTATCAGAGAAGGAATCAATTAGAAAACTTACTTAATTCATGACATATCTAATTTAAGTTTGAATCTTAGAAACGAAATGGGACTGTTAAAACAGTATTTTGGGACACTTTCTGAAAATGTAACTGATTGTAAAATCATTTAAAAATCTTAAAAGAGAATTCTTTATGCACTGAAGTTACATAAACGATTTAGAAGACAAAAGTGTAGACAGTAAAAAAACATTTCCCATTGTTTACGAATTAGGAAAAGAACGTTCTTTTTGTTGTCTATTTACTTTCCTTTACTGACTCTATATGTCTGTCTTTCAAACCGTTTATGTAACTTCAATTGGGAGAAAATCTTTTCATATTCTTCTAAAGTTTCGTAAAGAATCAGTGAGAATCTCATCTCTGACAATTTATGGTATCTAAAATTAAAATAAAATTGAATCTATCATAAAAATCATAATAGTGAAATCTGCAGTAAAATATGCCGATTTCTCCCTTCTCTAAATCCTCTCTTACTTACTTTTATTAGTCAAAGATAAAACAGCAAATTGACAGATTATGACAAAGGTGACTAAAAAAATTCTTTTATTGTGATTTAGATCTAAGATGAAGAGAAAACAAATGAATTAGAAATATAATACATACAGTAAATGAGAAGAAAGTTAATGACTACTTGACAAAAACTGTTGTGAATTATGATTATGAATAAAATGAGGAGAGAAAAACTTCTCACAACATTTTCGGACAACTTGACTCGTTCTATTTTTTAATAGTATTTCTAATACCAATTCTTACTCACGGTATCAAAGCGTACATACGCTCTGTTTTACGCTTTGCTGAGAAAAACGGCGCGTAGAGTGGACGATTTGCTATCGTTGTGTACGCTTTGTTTTCTAAGAGAACTTTTTTTTTTATTTAGGAGAAAATAAGGAAAACCTTTTTAACTGTCTTGAAGTCAGTATTTAGATAGAAAAAGAGACTTTTTTCTGATGATGCTTTTCTCCATTTGTAATTATCTGTGTCTGCAAAGTTGCTTTCGAGAAAAAAATCTGTATAAAGAAAGTTTTTATTTTTCTTCTCCAATTTCTGATGCCTAATTGATGCTTTCTGTTTAGATTTGAAACATGTACACTTTGGTTGGAAAAATCCTTTGAATTACGTTAAGTTTTATACTGAAAACACTGTGCAT